TACACGTGCCACGTGCAGCATGAGGGACTGCTGGAGCCCCAAGTCCTGAGATGGGGTGAGGAGAAGGATGTGGGCACTGAGGCTGTTCTCAGGGCCATCAGGAGCCCTTCTGGAGCCCTTCAGAGGGTCAGGATAAGGTCTGGGGCTCAGGGTATGATCTTCCCTTCCCTTCCAGTGCCCCTTCCTCAGTCCTCCATCCCCACCGCGGGCATCATTGCTGGCCTGGTTCTCCTTGGAGCTGTGCTCACTGGAGCTGCGGTGGCTGCAGCTGTGATGTGGAGGAAGAAGCACTCAGGTAGGGAAGGGAGTGGGGGATCTTGTCCACTGGGGACTTTCAAGTCCCAGGGAGAACTTGCCCTGCCTGGTTAATGGGAAGTACCATCCACACACATGGGTGTTGCCCAGAGGGCATTTGGTCCAGTCCCCCCCTCACCTCCTTTCTTCATTTTTCCCAGTCCTGACCTGGGTCTTTAGTCACAGTTCTGAAAACTTCCCTGTTGTGCAGGATTAAAAGATTCCTTTAGGTCTTCTGACCTGACTGCTCCCTGGTCTCACATGACGTTTCTTCCCACAGGAGGACAAGGAGGAAGCTACACTCAGGCCGCAGGTAAGTGTGGACCGGGGTTTGATCCCTGAGTCCCTGGGGACAGTGTAAATGGACTCCATGGGGGAGTCACCCTCATCAGTCCCTGCTGTGGTCTCATCTCTGACCAGGTTCTGTTTTGTTCTCAACCAGGCAGCGACAGTGTCCAGGGCTCTGATGTGTCTCTCAGCCCCTAAGGATCTTTTACAATGAACCTGATGAGGATCCTGTTGTGCACACCCTGGACAGCAGTGGGATGGTGTCACTGTTGTTCTTAACTGTGATATTGAGCATTTGTTCATATTTTTATTTTTCTATGTCTACATAAGTTGCTATGTCTATAAATAATATTAAATAAAATATAAATAAAAAGATTTATTTATTCAGGCATAAGAACTGGGGTACAGGCCATATGCACGGGAGGTGATAAGATTCACTAGAGACAGAGCGGAGAACAGAACAGGCAGACTGATGAAATATACTGCTGAGGGGAGCAGCGGGTGAGACAGGAGAGGTCTGCTGCGCCTTGTGGGATTCTCGCCCACCAGCCGGGATGGAACCTGCACTGCAGAGGCTGCGGACAGCTTCACAGTGCTGCGCTCAACCACCAGCGCCACCAGGGGAGGCCTGGAAGTCAATTTTTTTTTTTTTTTGCTATATTTATAACACTGTTTTTGTCCTTATTAAAATTGGGTTATTTCTTGCTGATCATTGAATTTTAAACATTATTTGTAAATTCTTGATACTGTCCTTTATCAGTTTCGTGATATGCAAATGTTTTCCCCCACTTTGTGACCTGAATTCCTTTAATGATGAGAAAACAAGCATTATTGTCCAGACAGAAGCATGGATATATTTTTTTAGAAGAGAAAAAATAAATTGCTAATTGGTTTTGAGCAGCTACTGGCTGACTGGGATGTTGGGGGATGGAAGGGAATGACTGACTTATGCGTATCCTTGAGTGTTATTTAAATGTCCTTGCATGAGCATGAAATATGCTTTCAAAAATAAATTTACACTTCATTCCTCAATTTATGAAACTCTTCACACATCATGTCCAAATCACGTGTTAAGACCAGACTGGCACGTGGATTACAAGTGAGGGACCCGCGCATCATATACGCACGTCATGGTTTCTCTTGGGTCACTCTGGTGTTGTCCATTCTGTGGGTGTTGGACGAATGTATAATGACCTGTGTCCATCGTGAGAATATCATGCAGAGTGTTTTCACTGCCCCTAATGTCTTCTGTGCTCCAAGGAAGCAAAAGCAAAAAGAAACCAATGGAATCACATGAGACTAAAAAGCTTCTACATAGTGAGGGAAACTCATTAAAATGAAAAGACAACATCAAGTTGGAGAAAATATTTGCACATCATCAATCCACAAAGGACTTACTATCCAAGATCTACAAAGAACTGCAAAACAAGAAAACAACTCTATAAAAATAGGGGCAGATGAGCTAAATAGATACTTTTGTAAAGACATACAGATGGCCAATAAGTACATGGATAAATGTTTGTCATGTGCTGTCAGGAAAATGCCAATTAAAACCACAATGAGTTACTACTTTACACCTGTGAGAATGACCCATTGAAGGGTGTGTAGGAAAAGGAAATCTTTCTGGTACATGGTGGGTGGGAATGAAGTCTGGTCCTGTTAGTGGTCAGAATGAGGGTTTCCCAGGACCCTCAAACCTGTACACTACATGGGATCTTCATCAGCTGAATAAAGAGAAAACATACTCTGAAGCATAAGACCTTCAATAGAAAAGAACTTTAATAAAATTAGTGTACAACAGAGAGAAGAGAAAGAATATAGTTAGAATAGTTTGCAAGTGAAGCACCCAAAGCTACCTGTCCCCTCATGGGTAAATACCCAGTGAAAGAGAGTTGGCCCAAAGCAGGCCCACTGGGGCCCGAAAGCCTGCCACAAGGCTAAGGCACCTAATGGTAGAGACCCATGGGACAGGGGAAGAAGGGGCCAGTCTAAAAGGAAAAGAGCAAAATCAAAATCAAAATCAAGATAACAGCTGCCATTATCAGCCTCTCACCCAAGTCTTTGTCTCTTTCACATGTCTCTTGCTGTGTCCCCAATTCCCTGGCACAAGTCCAAGCTTGAGGAACAAGCCTGGCTTCTTCTTCACATGTGTTTCTGCTCCATGCGCCTCCTCTAGTCTTTCCTCATCTTACTCCACATCTTCCTCCTCTTCCTTAGCTTCTCATCCTTCTCAGCCCCACGTTTCCTTGGGTGAAGAAACCTGGAACCTCTCTTTTCGATGGGTAGCATAGAAAACAAATGAAGGTTCCTCAAAATATTCAAAATAGACCTGTCCCATGGTCAAGCTTTCCATTCCTTGGTATTTATCCAAAGAAGGTAAAACACTGCAGCACTGGCTATCATAACCAAGCAATGGAGACAACTTAAGTGCCCAATGACAGATGAGGGGATGGAGAACACAAACTGTATACACAATGGAATACTGCTCAGCCATGAAAAAGAAAACTACTGACTTTGCAACAAGAATAGATATGGATGGGATTATGCTAAGTGAAATAAGTTTGAAGGAGAAAGTTAAATACTGGATGATTTCATTCCTATGTGGAATATAAAGAAACAAAGCAGGCACAGGTGAAACTAAACCAAAACAAACTATAGAAATATGACTGTGGAATTGAAGCTATAGGGTGGGACTAAGAGCAGGAAACAAGGTAGGAAGAGGGCCCAGTGGACTATGGTGAAGACTGTGGGTGCCCTTATGGTAGGCGTGATGTGGTAACAAACATCTGAAGAGGGGTGACCCTTGGCCTCTGAACACATACAGTGTGTAAACCAATGCTAACTCACCTGAATAATACAATGAGGGGAAAAAGAAACGAAAAAAGCAAATTGTGTCCTCCATCAATCACTGACCTCAGGACTTTGCCTTCGTCTCCTCACTGTCATGCAGGGTGAGGGGCTGGTTTCCCACAAGGTCAGAGGCAGGAGGTGCAGGGACACCTGGGCCTGCTCAGACACCCCTTAGTAGAGATACTGCAGAGAGGGCGGCTCTGAGGGGACCAGAGACAGAGGGTCAGAGTAACCCCAGTGCTGAGGGAGGGTCTGGTTGCCAAGGAGAGGGGAGTGTGTGTGTGTGTGTGTGTGTGTGTGTGTGTAAAAGAATGACAGGATACACAACACAAGATGATGGGAAGACAATTAACATCAAGCCCCAGAATGAATGAATCCAAATCGCACACAGAGTAAAGAGTGTCAGAACAACACCTCAGTAAATGTGGTTCCATGGAGAAGCAGTTTCTAAGCAGGACTGAAAAGGCATTGGACCTGAAGAGGCTGAGGTTTAGAAATATCTCATGGTTGGCTTGAGGTGTAAGGAGCTGGGCAGGACCCCTGCTCCAGGCGTCTGCTAGGATGTGGTGGTAACTTCACCCCTGACAGCTCCCTCCCCCAGTCGCCAATGTTCATCTCCAGTCCCCTACGTTCATCTTCTTTGGACTCACCATAGAAAACCCACGGGTCTCAAAATGAGGTTGTTTCATGAGCTTCAGCTACTTTCTCTCTAGAGCAGAGCTGGAGGGAGCCACACAGCGGGAGGGAGGAGTGTGTGCCCTGCTGGCCTGGCCCAGGGGCAGGATTAGCCCAAGTCACCCTAGTTCCTGAGCTGAGCCTTTGTCCACAGTCCAGGAATGGAGGGGAGATGGAGCAGGGTCTGTTGCGTCGGGCAACACCACACTGATAAAGAAACGGGCGTCGTGGAGCAGGCTACAAGATGCAGGATGCTGCCGAAGAGGAAGATCCGGGCCGTTTTTATTGCTAGAATAATCATACAGCGTCAGTTACGTGGGGCAGGAGGATGAGGAGGAAAGGATGGGTGAAATAAGGAACGTCATCTTGGGCTTCAGGGGGACAGGAGTCTGCTGACCAGATAATTCTTATCTGCTTGATGACCAAGTGTTGGAATCAAAACCAGACCCCAGACCCTGGACCATGGGCCTAATCTTATCAACAAGGCGGTCCCCTGGTCAGCTTCTGGGCTCCCTTGTCACACCTTGTGATGCATCGCCTTCCCAGAGTGATCAAGCTTTCTCTCTCGAAAGATTTGCAAGGCACCTTGTAAGGTCTGGCTCCCGTGACTGAGTGACCGGGCAGCTCTGACCTTGTGCAGGAATGCAGAACTGCAGGTCACACAAATGGCGCCTGAACAGGCTGCTCAAGTTTAGCGGACCCACCAGGGTCTCCCTCAGCTCCTAGGGGAAGATGTAATGTTAGAGAGGCGAACTGACGTTTCTTATTCTGGGGCTCTCCCGACTCCCCAGCGTAACCCTCCATGTGCAGCCGGGAGAGGATGTCAGGTCAAACCCAGGCTGCTTCCCCCACGCCTCTCCCCACTAGTGTTCAGGATGCATCTCCTTGTAGGCATGGCCACGCCGGAGGAGAGCACGGAAAGGTAAGCACCATTATGATATTTGCTACCGGGATTGGAGGTAAGTTTTTTTTTACTTCTGCCAGGCCTGCTCTCAGCTGAGTGACTCTCTGACCCGCCGAGGTCACTGTGTGCTGTCCACGCTGCCAGGAGCCACCACAAGAGGGAACAGCAGGTTCAGTTTTATTCTGGTCAGTTTGTCCTCTGGGAGCCGACTTGCCCAGGGGTCATTTTCCTGATTCTACATTTAATGTGGACCCCTGCAGCCTGGTGCAAGCGGTGGGGTATGACCAGCTTTGCTGAGGCCCGCTTCAGTAGCAAGCCTTGACAGAAGCCATGGGGAGAGAGGCCCATGGCATTCTAGGCCCAAACTCAGCATGCGGACTGTGGGCCTCCCTGAGCTCTGGCAGCGTTGGCCTGGGCTGTGCTGTGGCAGGTGAGAGACCGGCCTGGTGGGCTGTGATAGAGGGGTGCCTGCTCTGGATGCTCAGGTGAGCATCTGGCCCTGCTGAAGCCCACACCCACTGTGATCCCTGATGCTGGGGGGAGAGGGGACCTTACTGCGTGCAGCCTATGGGCCTGTTTGCTGCCCTCTGCGTGACAGCGGCCTGCACTCCAGGGTGAGACTATCTGACCTCAGGCATCTGGACACACTGGCAGGTGTTCATTTGGGAATACAGTGCCAGAATTGTAATGGACCAATCAGATTCAAGCTCTCACAGGGGTCATTCAAGATTTTTTTTTGTTTTGTTTGTTTTAAAAGAGATTTTTATTTTTACTTACGTATGCACACAAGAACTGGGGTTTAGGCCAGAGGTGTCAGGGGTAGGAGGATTCACCAGAGTCAGAGTAGGGAGCAGAACAGGAGGATCTACTGAAATACATAGCTAAGGGGAGCAACGGGCTAGACAGGAGAGGTCTGCTGTGCCACGAGGGTTGGCTCCCTGGCCGGGGATCAAACTCATGTTGTAGTGGCTGGCAATAGCTTGATTGTGCTGTGGCTTTAACCCCTGCGCCACCAGGGAGCCCCCCACCATTCAAGGTTTTTGAGACCATCCAGGCCTCTAAATGGACCAATCTGATTGGACCTCCTCTGGCACCAACCAAACAGCTTGGATTATAAAGGGGCCAATCAAACTTGAAAGGCAGCGCCCTGAAGAGGATACAAGCCAGAGCAGCAGCCAGCCTGAGTCACTTGATAGACAACTACTGGTCAGATCTGTTGGTACTCCTAGAAAGATCTTTGTCAAGACCTCCGCAGAGTGTGAGACCTTTCCAGAGACCTTTGCTGAGACCTGATGGCTACACCTGCCTCTGGCCCTGGCTCTAACACCGCCTGCAGAGAACATCGTCAGGCTGTCCCTGGGGTTTCTAAAGGAGCTGTTTGCTGGTGGCTTATGCCCAGCCTCTCTAAGGCTGTTTGCTGTTGGTACAATGGCATCTTTATCAGATGTAAACTGGCATCTCTGGCACCATTGCCTGCTGGACCAGTGCTGACCAGCACTGCTGACCTGTATCCGGCCTCCTCTGAGAGCTGTCCACCACTTCTTACCCTTGGGCACCATCTCCTGGTGCTGTTGCATCTGGCAGTGTCCAGTCCAGGGTCTGGTGCTGTCCGCCTGGCCTGTGGACAGCTGTTGCTGGCTGCTGCAGCATCACCTGAGCAGCCCCATCTGGGATCACCCCCAGCTGCCACCGGGAGTTGGATCCTGCTCCACTGCTTACCTGTTGTCACCAGCTCCAGGCTGTCATAGCACAGCTTGTGTGAGTAGCCTTTGTTTCGGACCACTGGACACTGAGGACACTGTCTGAGGTAGGATGGATGGCCATTTCTGGGCTTAGACACTCCTTCCTTGTTTGCAGTCTCCCCTTTTTAATAAACCCTGTTGCTTTTACACCCTGAGCCTGAGTGTTGTCTTGCAAGTGCGAGCACATGGATGAGGACCCAGAAACAGTGACTGTCCCCAACATTGCCCTGTTTTAACATAGCCTGAGAGTGGAACTGGTGACTGTCCCGCTGCAGGGTGTGGTGACCTGCGCCCACCTGACCCGCCCTTCTCTGTTCCGGCCTGAGAAAGTGACAAGTGAAGCTGCAAAAATTCATGCTTGGGCCTCCCTGGTGGTATAAGGGGTTAAGCACAGCACTGTGAAGCTATCCACAGCCTCTGAAGCGTGAGTTAGATCCCAGGCCAGGGAGCAACCCACATGGTGCAGCAGACCTCGCCTGTCTCACCCACTGTTCCCCTCAGCAGTGGATTTCAGTCAGTCTGCCTGTCCTGCTCCCCACTGCCTCTGGTGAATCCTCTTACCCCCCACATCTCTGCCCTGTACCCCAGTTCTTATAAGCATGAATAAATAAATCTTGGGCCTCCCAGTGGCACAAGGGCTTAAGATGCAACCTATGAAGCTGTCCACAGTCTCTGCAGCACGAGTTCAATCCCTGGCCATGGAGATACCCACATGGTGCAGCAGACCTCTCCTGACTTGCCCACTGCTCCCCTCAGCAATGTATTTCAGTCACTCTGCCTGTTCTGTTCCCGCTGTCTCTGGTGAACCCTCTCACCCCCACCTCTGGTCTGTCCCCCAGTTCTTGTATGCATAAACACATAAATTTAAAAATAATTAAATAAATCTTAAAAACAAAATCCATGCCTGCCAGAGTGTTAGGATTTGAGCTAAAAAGAACTTCAAATCCATTCTTATTTTCTAGATGAGGGTAAAAATGAAAAGAGCATCAGGCCAGTGATGGCAGAACCTAGACACAGCAGGTACCCCAACTCCCTGTCCTTGTTCATGCCCTGACGCCTGAGGGAGGACAGAGGCTGAGGGTTCCGGAGAGGAGCTGGACACTCCCCTCCTCCTGCTTGGCCCTCATGGAAAAAGCAGGAACCAAATGGTGAGAAAAGTTCAGGCCATGGGAAGCTGTAAGTCTGTCTCCCATGACCAGTCCTTGCCCGGGGAGGGCTGTGCGTTAGGAGATGTGACCATAAGGCCGTGAGCCCTGATGACAACATCATCTAGGAGGGGGACCATGTAGCAGAGGGTTCCTGTTTCTCCCCAGACACTTCAAACCTTCTCACTGAAAGGATGTTGATATAGAGGGAAAATGAGGAATCAAGTTTAAAGCAAAAGGATACCTGTTTTATGAGTCCTGGGTACTGAGGCGATACAATACATCATTATTGAAGTGACATGGAGGATTTCAGGACAGACCCCCTGTGGACACGCACATGTGCAAGAGGAAGTTTTGCAGGTGCAGCCTGTGAGCACACGTGTGAGGACCTATGTAGGGTCAGAGACACGTGAAAGAGACAGAGAAGTTGGTGAGAGACCCAGGGGAGCCTGACAATGGCAGCTGTTATCTTGATGTGGATTTGATTTTGCTCTTGTCCTTCCAGACTTGCCTGGCCCCTCCTGCCCCTGTCCCATGGGTCACCAGTAGGTGCCATAGATTGTGGCAGGCTTTTGGGCCTCAGTGGTTCTGCTTTGAGCCAAGCCTGTTTGGCTGGACATTTACCCATGAGGGGACGGGTAGCTTTGGGTGCTTAATTGGGAATTATTTATCTATGTTCTTTCTCTTCTCTTTTCCTATTACACACTAATTCTCTATTGCACACTCATTGTGTTCAAGTTCTTTTCTAACAAAGATGTTATGCGTTAGATTTTGTCTTTAGGCAGCTGATGCAGATCCCATGTAGAGTGTACAGGTTTGAGGGCCCCTGGGAACCCCTCATTCAGACCGCTAACAGGACCAGACTTCATCCTCATGTGCCAGAGTTCCTTTCCCTCCACACCCTTCAACGGGTCATTCTCACAGGTGTGAGGTGGTAACTCATTGTGGTTTTAATTGGCATTTTCCTTACAGCACATGATGATAAACATGTATCCATGTACCTGTTGGCCACATGTGTGTCTTCTTTAGAAAAGTACCTATTTAGCTTCTCTGCCCCTGTTTTGATTGGGTTGTTTCCTTGTTTTGGAGTTCTTTGTAGATCTTGGATAGTAACTCCTTGTTGGATTGATGATGTGCAAATATTTTCTCTGACTCAATATTGTCTTTTCATTTTAATGATAGTTTGCTTCACTATGTAGAAGCTATTTAGTCTCATGTGATTCCATTGGGTTTTTGGTTTTTTTTTTGCTTTTGTTTCATTGGAGCACAGAAGACATTATGGGCAGTGAAAATACTCTGATGGACACAGGTCATTGTACATTTGTCCAACAACACCCACAGAACGGACAACACCAGAGTGAACCCAAAGGGAAACCATGAGTTTGGCGACTGTGACGTGTGGGTCCATCACTGGTAACACACGTGCCAGTCTGGTCTTAACACGTGATTTGGTCGTGATGTGTGAGGAGTGTTATAAATTGAGTAATGTAGTGTAATTTACTTTTGAAAGCATATTTCATGCACATACAAGAACATTTAAATACCACTCAAGGGGGCCTCCCAGGTGGCGCAGCGGTTGAGCGCTGGGTTGCGAAGCTGCCCGCAGCCTCTGCAGCGCCGGTTCAATCCCCGGCTGCTCCCCGGCCACCGGAGGAGGGTCCCACATGGTGCGCAGACCTCTCCTGCTGCCCGCTGCTCCCCTCAGCAGTGTCCTTCGGTCCTTCTGCCTGCTCTGCTCCCCGCTCTGGCTCTGGTGAATTCTCTCACCATCCCGCGCTTCTGACTGTACCCAGTGCTTCTATAAATAAATAAATAAATCTTAAAAAAAAAAAAAAAGAAAAGGACAGATGTGCATCACTGGATTCTTTAAAAAAAAAAAAATAAATAAATACCACTCAAGGACACACATAGGTAAGTCACCCCCCCAACACCCAGTCAGCTAGGACATCTGCTCAAAAACAGTTAGTGATTTATCATTTCTCTTCTTAAAAAAAAAAAAAATATATATATATATATATATATATATATATATATCTCCATGCTTCTGTCTGGACAACAATGCTTGTTTTCCTGTCAGTACAGGAGTTCAGGACACAGAGTCGGGGAAACATTTGCAAATCATGAATCTGAT